CGGTTTGTTTCCCCCGGGGCAAACCGCCCCGCTTCCCCCCCCTTTTTCCAGCCCCCCCCCCCAATGCTGCATAGTCTGCTGTGTCGTGACACAGTTCCTTTTCAAGAGCTGGAGCCAGCAAGACAGCGTGCAGCTCCTTTTGGAGAATGTTGTGTTGTCCTCACACGGAACTCGTGTTTTCATTTCTGTTAAGTGCAAAGTGTAGCCAGACTCCATGCTGTAGTTCCACACTAGCATAGAGGTCACAACCTGGAGATGTTTGCCTCTCAAAAGCTGCCGCTCACTTTTTCAGATACAGCAGAATATTTTGTATCTGAAGAAGTGAGCCGTGACTCACAAAAGCTCCTACCCTGCCACAAGCGGTGTTAGTCTTTCAGGTGCTGCTGGACTCTTGCTCCTTTCTCCTGCTACAGACAGACTAACACGGCTCCCCATCTTGAACTGTTTCGAACCCATTAGCCTTAAGGCAGTGAAGATCCATGGGGAAAGACACCGGGGGGGGGGGGGAATCCTTGATAACCTTAAAAGCCTGTGTGTGCATGTGCCGCTGAGTAGAAATCCCAGGGACCTCCGGGCAGGGGTTTAAGTGCCGTTCATCGCTCCCACCCCTGCCATGACCCAAGTAAGCAAATAGGCAGGTTGGTGCATGTTTGTGTCATTTACGCAAGTCGTGGCGTTTGGGGCACTTTGCCGCAGAATTTCGGGGACGGCTGGCACTGCATCGCCATCTCTGCTGTGTTCCCCTTTGGCGGCTGCATCGCAGGAGATGCCAAGCAGAGACCTTGCGATCCCAGGTCTCCTAGGGGGGTGGCACGACGCTGGATCTTCAGCCTGACTCGCGAGATTCCTTAATTCTGCCTCTCACGTATATGGTGATGGAGTACTGCGTATGTGGCATGCAGGAGATGTTGGACAGCGTCCCGGATAAGAAGTTTCCAGTCTTTCAAGCACACGGGTAAGTAAGCAGGGAGGTGCCTCCTGGGGCTGGACGCACCAGTCCTCTAGCTGGGTTTTTGGAGTAGGTGGCATGGCACGTTTTTGGTTCTCTTCCCCAGACCCCACTGCACAATGAAGTTGGCTTATATTCTTCTTTACGGAACGTTTCTGTGGAAGGCGGTAAAGGGCAGCAGCTCAGGCAAGGAGGGCTTCCTTTGCAACAAGTTGAACATAAGAGCCCTGCTGGATCAGCCAGGTGGTCCATCTGGTCCCGCATCCTGTCTCACACAGTGGCCAGCCATTTCCTCTGGAGGGCATAGAGGCCGAGGCCTTTCCCTGATGTTGCCTCCTGGCTCTGGGCTGCAGAGGATTAGTGCCTCTGAATGCGGAGGTTCCCCTCAGTCACCGTGGCTAGTAGCCATTGATAGACGTATCTTCCATGAATCTGTCTTAATTCCCTTGTAAAGCTGATTATTCCTGTGGCCATCACTACATCTTCTGGAGCAAATTCCACATTTTAATCCCTCCCTGTGTAAAGTAGTCTTTCCTTTTGCCCGTCCTTAACCTACTGCCCATCAGTTTCATTGGATGCTCTTGGGTTCTAGTATTTTGGGAGAGGGAGAAGAATTCCTTTGTCAACTCTCCCCACCCCATGCATCATTTTAGGAACCTCTGTCATGTCTCCCTTTAGTTGTCTGTTTTCTGAACTGAAAAGTCCCAGCAGACTCTCCAGCCTTTCCTCACAGGGCAGGGGCTCCAACCCCCGAATCATCCTGGTTGTCCTCCTCTGTACCTTTTCCAACCCTGCAGTGTCTCTTTTGCGATACGGTGACCAAAACTGTGGACCGTATTCCAAATGAGGCTGCAGTATAGCTCTGTACAGGGGCGTTAGAGTATTGGCCGTTTTATTCTCAATCCTTTTCCTAATAAAGGTGCGAACAGTTCCCAAGAGGCAGCTGTTCAAGGCAGTATTATTATTTTTTTATAAAACGTATTTGTATTATTATTTTTTTACAAAATGTGTATCCCACTTTCTGCCCTCGCAAGGGCCACACTGAAGCAGCCAACAAATTAAAACTAACACAATAAAATCACATATTAAAACCAGCCCCTTCCAGATCGGTGATACAGTTAAAAACAGAGCTAAAATATATGCAAAGACGACAATTTTAAAACGTTGGGCAGGAAGGAAGGGTCACTTAGGGACCATCAGAGGAAAGAAAAAAGCCGTCACCCGCTGGCAACAGGAGGAGACAGACGAAACTCTGGGGGTGGGTGGGGGGGAGTTCCAGAGCTTTGGTGCCATGACTGGAAGGGCTTCTCCCAGGTTGGCACCCACCAAATCTCAGAAGGTGTGGGCACCCAAAGCAGGGCCTCAGAACGCAACTGCAGTGATTGGATAGATTCACACCTTACACCTGTCCAAAGCCGTGTAGGGCTTTAAAGGTCAGCACCAGCACCTTGAATTGTAGCCAAAAACAAATCGGGAGCCACTGTAGGTAGGCCAAGACTAGAGTGATAATGGTCCCTACAGCCCACTCCAGTCAGCATCCTGGCGGCAGCATTCTGTGGCAATTGATGTTGCCAAAGTAGGGTTGCCAGGTGAGGCCGACAAGCCAGTGGGGGACTTACCAGGAGCCTCTGGGAGAGGGGAAGGGAAGAAGTGCGATTGAACTCCAAAGCGAGTCGCATTTAAAGGGACCATATTCCTCTTAAATGCTTTCCCTCCATTGGAAATAATGGAGGGTGGGGGCACCTTCTTTTGGGGCTCATAGAATTGAACCCCCAGTCCAATCTTTTTGAAACTTGTGGAGGTTTTTGAAGAGAGGCACCAGCAGCTATGCTGAAAATGTGGTGCCTCTACCTCAAAAAACAGGGGGGCCCAGAGCCCCAGATACCCACAGATTAGTTCTCCATTATACCCTATGGGGACCGGTCTCTGTAGGATATCATTTATTTCATTTATTTCATTTTTATTTTTCGCATTTATATCCCGCCCATCCTGTAAATGGGCTCAGGGGAGGTTATAATATTTGCATAAATACAATAACTTTTTAAAACACATTATAAGCATATAAAATCAATAATCATAGTTTGCTGTATGGAGAGTCCAGCCCATTGATGTAACTGAGTATGGCTGGTTATCAATGGGTGGGAGACAGCAACCTCGGGGGGCCATGTGTGGACGCCCGCTGCCTAAGCCAAAAACCTGGCGGAACAGCTCCGTCTCGCAAGCCCTGCGGAATTGAATAAGATCCCGCAGGGCCCTGGTCTCAATAGGGAGCATGTTCCACCAGGTGGGGGACAGGGCGGGAAAAAGCCCTGGCCCCGATCGAGGCTAGGCGGATGTCCTTTGGGCCAGGGATCACCAGGAGATGTTGACTCTCAGAGCGTAACGCTCTGCGAGGCGTATATGGAGCGCCCAGCAGCCATCCCCCCCCCCGCTTTCTGATAGCCCTGAAGTGGGGTGAGGGGCTGCAAACCAGGGGATCCATCCCCCCCCCCATCTGGGGATCGGCAACCCTATTCCAAACACTCCTCAAGGGCAGCCCCACATAGAGTACATTGCAGTAGTCTAGTCTAGATGCAATCAGGGCATGCACCACAGTAGCCAATCTTTTCTGCCCAGGAAACGACTGCAGCTGGCTTACTGAAGCTGGTAAAAGGCACTCCTGGCCACAGCTGCCACCCACTTATCCAGCAGGGTCCAAGACTGCCTCTTTGCCCACTAAAGGTGTAGGGGTTTGCAGAGTAATCATATCACTTATAGAATGCAGTAAAACCTCCCCATCCAACCAAAACCTACCAATGTTATTTAAAACATGTATTAGCCACCCTTCTGCCTTGTGGAACTCAAGGCGGACTGCAAAATAAATAAAACAGTCAACTATTAAAAAAAACCACACACACAGGAAAGACCACTAATTAACAATTTCCAGTTAAGACTGCCAATAAATAAAAGCTGAATTAGGCAAATGCAGTCCTAAGTAAAACTGTCTTCGGCTGCCTCCTGAAGATACAGTCAACTATTTTTAAAAAAAACCACACACATGAAAGACCACTAATTAACAGTTTCCAGCTAAGACTGCCAATAAATAAAAGCTGACTTAGGCAAATGCAATCCTAAGTAAAACTGCCTTCGGCTGCCTCCTGAAGATCGGAAGCGAGAGGTCAGGTGCACCTCCCTGGGGAGGTTATTCCGTTGTTGTGGGGCCACTGCTGAAAAGGCCCTCTCGTGTGTGCCTGCCAGAAAAGCAGCAGCAAGTGCCTCTGTTAGACCAGCGCAAGCATATTGCAAAAGGAAAAGACAACCAATTAAAGCAGTGAAGCCCAAATGGCAGAACGGCTGTCTGTTAAAACAAAGGAGCACTGAGGTGGTACTGAACTCAAATGTGATCTTTCTTTTCCAGGGCAGAAGCTTGTGTGAGTCAAAGCTCTCTCCATTGTCACTTCCCATGAAGTGAGTTTCGATTCATACAAGCTTATATCCTGGGAAATGTTGTGGGCCTTTTAAGGTGCTACTGGACTTGACTTTTGTTCCGCTACTGCAGACTAGCCGTGACTTGGGTGGTCCAGGCTTGGATCTTGTCGGATCTCGGAAGCTAAGCAGGTTCGGCCCTGGTTAGTATTTGAATGAGAGATCACCAAGGAAGTCCAGGGTAGTGACCCAGAAGCAAGCCGTGGCAAACCAACCCTGAACACATCTTACCTCAAAAACCTCACTGGG